TATCGTCGTGGCACGTGCTGATCACTTGTTGTTAGAAGCAGAACAGCAGTAACATCACCAGCAACACTGACAACGCTGACGCACCACCAATACCAACAGTAACATACAGTTGGTGCCTCCAGTTCCCGAATATCGAGATGAACTACAGAGGACTAGTAATCGCGTGCTTCTATGGTAAGTACCGAATACTCAAGCCGCGATACGAAAAGCTGTAATATCTCCAGAACTATTCCATATCAACTGTCGTTAATTTCTGCTTTCTGTACCAACCACAGTGAATCTCAGTAGCGTTTTCATCTGACTGAAAAATACCCTCTTTTGATTTCATCACCACTAATCCCCTTACGTGCACCAGGCGGAATGTCAGTGGCGAGCGTGTTTATCAACAAGGCCATTTTCCACGTCTATCATTTCAACCATCCGTACACGCTGGTTCTGGGTCAAACATGCTTCACGCTCGTCCTCCTACTGCTCATGCGACGGTTCCGAGTCATCAGATTGGCACCATTTCAGTTCTACGTCTTCCAACGGGTAAGTAGTAATCCCAAACGGTATGTACCAGCTCTCAGTTGCCATTGTATGTCTTCCAACGGGTACGTACTCACGGTATGTAACGGCTTTCAGCTGCCATTCTTTATCGTTCAACGGGTAAGTTATGATCCCAAACGGGATGTACCGGCTCTTTCATACCCGCGCTTCTTGCTCTCAACTGAGATATGCCAGATTGGCTTCATACTGCTTTCGACGGGTATAAAAACAGCATGTCCTGATACTAGCTCTCACATACGCGCGCTCTTTGTTCCCAACTGAGCCTCCCGTCATCCATTACTACTCAGTAAAGGATACAAGCCTGGTCTAGCTGATTGCTCGTTTTGCTCCCGCTTTGATCCAACATACGTGGCCACTTCTGTAATGCTCGAACACTCGGATCCCCAGCGTTCCTTCAGCACCCAATCCTCCAACTCTTCTTTTCTTTCCCACCCTTTCCCCCATTCTTCCCCTCCACTTTCCCTGATCCCTCTCCTCCCCCGTAACAGGTCTTCCTTCTGTCCTTCGCCTTCCTTCTGAAGCTCCTTCTAGACATGTCCGCCCTCTCTAGAGTCAACATCCCCATGTACGGGGTCCTCAAATCCTCGACCACTCCCTTCGTCCTCCTACTAGACTACTTCCTCCGCTCCAAAAAGGCTTCCGCGCGGATCCAGCTAGCCGTATACCTCACCACAGCAGGAGGGTTCATCGCAGGGCTAGGAGACCTTACCTTCGACCTGCCAGGCTACATTCTGGCGCTTTCATCCGCGTTAGCAACAGCCGCGTATGTAGTTATAGTGGGGAAGCTCGGGGAGGAGCTACAGCTGGACTCGTTCACGCTGTTGCTGTACAACAATTTTTGGTCGCTGCCGTTCTCGATCCTGCTGGTGGTGTGGAACGGCGAGCTGGTGGCTGTGAGACAGGTGCTGCACCCGCAGAGCGCCATGTTCCTGTTCTACTTTGTGCTCTCCTGCGCGTCTGCGTTCATCCTCAACCTCGCCACGTACCTCTGCACGCTCGTCAACGACTCGCTCACTACCAGCATTGTCGGTAAGGATTGCTTTTGGGTGACTCAAAGGGCAAGAAGGATGGCTTCTGGTTGGCTCAAAGGTCAAAATGGTTTTCATTCTCAGACTTGCGAGGTACCTCTCCACGCTCGTCAAAGACTAGTTCACCACCTGAACCATCGGTAAAGATGGCCCAGGTGACTGAACAGAGCAACAACTTGGGTTCAGGAAGGAGCTGTGTTTGTTGCTGCTGTTTCCCTGCCCTCACGTTTGCCTGCCCTCTCGTTCGCCTGCTTGCTATTACTCATACGCCTACTTACTCAAATCCCTCTCACATGCGGTGCTTCATCTGCTTGTGACGTTCAGGCCGAACCAAGTCCATCCTGCAAGGTCTGGGTGGGCTCTTCGCGTTCGGCGATGTGCTGGTGAGACATGACAAAACATGAACACACACACACACACACACACACACACACACACACACACACACGCACACACACATACACATGCACACACACACACAAACACACACACTCACACTCTCACACACACACACACATTCACATACCCACACACATATACACACACACACGCACACACACAATGCAGGTTATGCATATGCTGTATATATACAGCAAGAGAGATAGGGACAGAGGAACGAGGTCAAGGCAGGAAAAAATTCCCCATTCCCATTCCCTATTCCCTGATCCTATCCAAACCTGTCCGACCGTCCTCAGTACAGCCCAAATTCCTCCGTATCATTGTACAAACCATCCCTCACTTAACCTTTCCCCCCCACACCTCACCTTTTCTTCACCCATTCGCAGCTAAATCCCACAAATCGATAGCTAGCTTTCCTAGGCGCCTAAAGAATCCCCTCATCCTCTCTTATTCTACTCAAACACAGCTGAATCCCACGAACCTGCTGGGTCTGCTGGTGAACTCGTGTGGAATCGGGTGGTACGCGTATGAGAAGTATCTGGAGGCGAAGCGGAAAGCTTTGTACCTGGGGTCGCCAGCTCGGCTCAAAGGCAGCCGCCCCACCACTGACACCATGACCATCACCAGAGACGGCTCCCAGGTGAGTGGGTGTTGAGAAGATAGAAGACAAGGGGAAGGCTCTGTAGGTGGATTAAGCAGGGCAGCTGGTCCCAACACTGGCACCATGACCATCACAAGAGACGGCTCCCAGGTGAGTGGGTGTTGAGAAGATAGAAGACAAGGGGAAGGCTGTGTAGGTGGATTAAGCAGGGCAGCTGGTCCCAACACTGGCACCATGACCATCACCAGAGACGGCTCCCAGGTGAGTGTTTTGGAAACATTTTAAAAGGAAAGGGAAGCTGTACAAATGGAAATAATAGAGCAGCTAGGCACCACTGACACCATGACCATCACCACTGACACCGTGACCATCACCACTGATACCATGACCATCACCACTGACACCATGACCATCACCACTGACACCATGACCATCACCACTGACACCATGACTATCACCACTGACACCATGACCATCACCACTGACACCATGACCATCACCACTGACACCATGACCATCACTGGGCGCAGCAAAGGCCATAACCATGGAGGCGCCTCAAAAGCCATTACCCCCAGGTACATGGCTTTCCTCTTCGCCTCCAGGTACTTCTCATACGTGTACCACCTTCAAAAGCCATTACAAGGGCTTACCATCACCAGAGACTGTTCTCAGGTGAGGTTTTGGAAACGATCTTTCACACGGGGGGGGCTGTGTTGGTGGAATCAAAGGGAAGTTAGCCCCACCCGCTGACACCATGCCCATCACTAGAGATAGCTTCCAGGTGAGCTCTTTGAAGGTGATTTAAAGCTTGGGGGAAGTTGTTAAGGTAGAAGGAACTAAGAGGGCGGTCAGCCATGCAATGGTAGCATGACCATCACCATGGAGAACTCCGCTGGTGAGCGTTGTTCAACCAATCTCATAGGCGCCTCAAACGCCACCTCTCAGCAAGGTTTGGGAGATGATAAAAGGGGGGAGAGTATTTAGGTGGGAGTGTTGTTGAGGACGTGTCAGAACAAGGAGAGAAAATCCTATAGCTGGTGGTACTGATAGGCCACCTAAAGGGCAGACCACTACTACTATCATGACCGAGACAACATATGGCTCACATGTTACCAACTCACGGGTAGGACAAGTGCTTGAGAGGTTTGACGTGAGGTAATGGGTTGGGTTTTTGGGAAAAGGGTGGTTCACATGTGCCAGTCATGATTGCTCAAGCTATTGTGCTACTGACACAGAAACTGTATTGGCAGCTGTATTTCTAAGATGCTACTGTTGTGTTATCTTTTGTGGTCAAATGCAGGTATCTCTAATCTACACTGGCAAGGAGGCAGATGGTCAAGACTCACGAAATGGCCTAGTCTGAGCGTGGTGGGTGTGTTTAGAAAAGAAAAAAGGGCATTTTTTTTGCCATGTCAGATGTTCCTAACAGGCTAGCCATGATAGTTTTAGTCAACTCGAATGTGTTGATATGTAACGAAGCACTAACCAAAATGCTTCAGCAATGGTGGTGATTATTTCACCAGAATGTTTTGCCCATAAGCTAGCTTGGGACCTTGGCACTACTGTCACTAACAAAACAAGGGTATGATGCGCACTAACTCAACTATTCAATACATAGGCGAAAATATACATGAATGAATTATTTAAAGAAGATTGGCCAACAGCCTTTACTGTAATGAGGTGCAATACGTGGAGGACAGAACTAAAAAGCAACTTACCACGGTGGAGGTTCCGCGACAAGCCAAACTGACCAAAGTCAGGTTCGTGACCTCCTCTGGTCAGTCACGGGAGACATACGAAGCACGTCTCTCGAGCACAAACCAGTCGTTCGGCAAAACAAGACCTTTTCCAAAGCACCCCAACTTCCGGACAAGCCTCGTTCGGCAACACCAAGCCTGGACGTGACACACGTAGCACGGCGGACGAGCCGCTTTGCGAAAGTCACCATGTTGGCCCGTCTTGCGCGACGGCGCGAGGAGTTTCCCTCGTCGTGACACGCGACTCGGTCACCCACATCTCTCACATCCCATTCCCCATCTTGGAAATTCGCAAGGCGAGGCGGAATGTGTATCAGCGGCGCGTCACAAGCGACATTTCATGTGACTGCAAGTAGCAAACGCCGCTCCCTCCTCTTTCTTATCTGTTCAGCCCTTCTCTTCCTCTCTTGCTCTTGGTGCTCCGCCGTAGTTTCGTTTCCCTCTTCTACACTCAGACAGTAAGAGCCGCCGTCCACTGGCTGACGACGACCCAAACTCCAGATTCTTCTGGTTGTTTCTTATTGAGAAAAGGATAGCAAATACCAGGCAGAACAATAAGCAGGACTTCTGAGTGCGTAGGGCTTGAGGTGGTGACGATTGTTTAGCACAGACGGTTTGAGTTTTAGCAGCTGCAAGCTTCAGAAATTTCTTAGTCCAATCCGCACCATGGCTTGGAGATTTATGACGCTCGCACTCGTTCTCACCCTCGCTACTTTCGCCGCTTTCCCACAAGCCAACGGCGGCAAATACGAAACGTGGGCTAAGGGATTCACAGCCACGTACTACGGCGGACAGGGCGACGGCGGGTCTTGCGGGTACGGCACCGCGCAGCAGTCCGGATTTGGCGTGTTCACCGCGTCGGCCTCCGCGTCGCTCTACCAGTCCGGGTTGTTGTGCGGCGCGTGCCTACGCGTTAAGTGCGTCAACAGCCCGCTCTGCAAACCCGGCGTGTCGCCGATGGTCACCGTTAGCAACCTTTGCCCGCCGTTGTCGTCAGGGGGTTGGTGCGACGGAAACAAGATGAGTTTGTCGCTCGCGCCAACAACGTGGAACATGATTGCGACGAATCCGAACGTTGGGGTTGTACCCGTTATAGTGAAGCGCGTGCTGTGCCAGCGGAAGCGAGGGATCGTGTTCAACGTGACCGGAAACCCGTACTACATTGAAGGTGAGAAAACAGCCTTTTCGCAAATCGCATTTTAGCACACTCGCACTCCTTTACTCCCAATGATAGCTTAGCCCGTATCACGACAGATGCTTAAAAGTCCTTCGTTGTGTGTCTATGAGTTCTTCCTGGCTAGCTTAAGCTTGCATCTGCGCTAGCTTAAGCTAGCAGCGGTTAGCCGCGGCTGTTTGTGGTCCATCTGAAACGTCCTCGCGGTTTCTTGCATGCGATTTGCCCATATCTCATTGCAATTCCTATTCTGCTCCGCGGCCGCTTGAGCCCGCGATCGTTTCAGAAAGCCCCATCAAAGCAAGCCGAAAGTATCCAGCTCAGTTTCGTCATGCTCTCCATTCATATTTTCCTACTCCCGTCGCGTCTATTCATATTCACTATTGCAGCTTTGATTAAGAATGTCGCGGGATCGGGCGATCTGCGCCGGGTCGACCTCTCGCTAAACCGCGGCCCATTCCAGCCCATGGTTCGATCCTACGGGTCGGTCTGGACGTTTTCCGGACAGAAGATGACGGGCAAGTCGCTTTCGTTCCGCCTCTTTTCGCGCAACGACAACGCGTCGCTCGTCATCTGGAACGCGCTGCCTCCTAACTGGGTCCAGGCCGTAAACTACATCTCGAAGACGAATTTCGGATTCGCGTAAGGACGGGTTGAAAAGCGGTGTAGAAGTTACGGTTGGGATGGGGAGAACATACGTAACGTGATAATGTGGGCAACCGGGAAACACGGTGCTGGAAGCTGTCTAAAAGTAGCGTAATAAAAATCGGTAGGGCTGGATTCGAAGTTTACTGAAATGTGACGTGACATGCTTTTAGCCGCTTTGAAATAATAAAGCAGACTAGGTGTATCCATGTAACCTGTTGCATACCAAATCTTCTCGTCACATTTGGCGATGGTGTTGTTTTCATGCTTATAGATTGTAGTATCGGTGATGATGGTTGCCTTGAACGTATGCGGCTAGGATGGGAGGAGCAGGTGCGCAGCGTCCTCCTCATCCTCCTACTTGATACCCCTCTTCAACACCCACACACTACCGTATGAGTGCTTAGAGGCCACTCACGTGAAGATCGCCCACTTGAGATGCATGAACACCGTAGTAGTAATTGTTGTGATTGTCGGTGCTGTAATCCTTGTTTTTTTGTGCATCAAAACATTTGATGTCAAGTGCACAATACACCCACAGACAAAGCACAAGCAGTTCCCTTCCAACAAGTCAAGACATATTACAGAGGCGCACTGTGCATGTCCCTTCTCATTCCAGAAACACTCCCACACAGTCAACCCTCCCAAGGTACCAAAGCATTTCTGCTGCACTACTGTAGCAGCAGCTCGAGATGAGCTGCTTCCTGATGGAAGTACAATCAACTAAGAAATACAGGACCCGGTGATTCCTCTTGCAATCCCATCCCATAGTTAACCGCATATCGTGGCACATGGCGTATCCCTCCACGTCTGCAAAGAGTAGGCCCTTGTAGGCCCATGTCAAACAAAGGGTGCCACAGGGATGCTTGCAGCTGACACGTGGCAAGACGAGATTGGAGGGCAGGGGAAATGCCGGTAAGATGTGGGGGAGGGGAGGAAGGGAAGGAGTTGGTGGTGGAGGTACAGCAATGAACAGGCCCTTGTCAAACAAAAGCTGAGCTGGTTTTTTAGAATTCTCGAAAACCAGAAGGGGAGTTGGTGGTTGAGGTACAGCAAGGAACAGGCCCTTGTCAAGCAAAAGCTGAGCTGGCAGCTGACACGTGGTGCTCTTCCTTATCATAACACGTGGCATGGTTTGGACAGAGGGGCAGGTGGGGGAAGGGTTGAAATGGAAGGAGGGGGGAGAGGCATTAAAAAAGAGGTTAGATGGATGGATGCATGGGAGGCAGTGGAGACAGTGCATAGTACTGAAGGGGGACAAGAGAGGTCACGACTCACGGGTTGCAACACCCACAATTTGGCCCTGCCCATACCCCGCTTAAGTCTCATCCAGTTATGGTCACACCTCGTTACAGCTCACTTCTCACCATCATCCTCGAGTCTCGGGCGGCTTGCGATGTCCTCCTTGCAGAGCGGGCAGGAGGAGTTGATCTTGAGCCACGTGTCAACACAGGATAGGTGGAAGTGGTGGCTGCAGGGCAGCTCTCGAAGGTCCACCCCGTCCCGATAGCGACCCAGGCAGATGCAGCAGAGCTGTGGGGAGGGGTGGAGGGGGATGGGGTGTGGTGGGGTGGGGTGGGGTAGGGTGGGGTGGGGAGACGCAACAGAAGGGGATAAGTACAGGAGGAGAGGGGAAGATCTACTGAGCGGCCCAGGCCCAGGCAGATGCAACAGAGCTGTGGGGAGGGGAGGGGTGGAGTGGGGTGTGGTGCGATGTGGTGTGGTGCAGTTTGGTGGGGGAAACAGAAGAGAAGGGGACAAGTACAGGAGGAGAGGGGAAGATCTACCCCATTCCGATAGCGGCCCAGGCAGATGCAACGGAGCTGTGGGGTTGAGGGGGTTGTGTTGGAGGGGAGCTTATAAGAGTGGACGCATGGAACCCTAGAAACCAGAGCAAGGAGATGAAAGAAAAGGGAAAAGCATGTGTTGCGAGATGACAGAAAAGGGAAAAGCGTATGCAGCAGAGATGGGTGGAAGAATCGCTGGGAAGGCAGTGAGGCTAGACAGGGAGTTCGGAGGTGGGTTGAGGGAAGGAAGGAAGAGCATGGCACTCACAGCATCGCCCCCTCGCACTGGCCTCTGCTTGTCCGTGCCTGGCCAAAGCAGTCCCACCACACTCTCTTCCTCCTCATCTGAGTCCCCCTCACTCTCACTTCCTCCCTCCCTCTCCCTCTCCTTCTCACTCGCACTCTTCCTCCTATCTCCTGATCTTGCTACACAAGCCCCGCCAGTCGCACCAGCAGCGGCATTTCCAGCAGCACCACCACTACCACCACCACTGACAGCAGCAAGAGCAGCGACAGGATTTTCAACGCCAGCAGCAGCAGCAGCAGCAGCAGCAGCAGCAGCAGCAGGACCAGCATGACCAGCAGTGCCAGCAGCAGCAGCAGTGCGTCGCATCAGATATCCACCCAGCCTGCCAAACCACCCGCCCGCTCCTCCCCCAACACCCCCCCGCCCCTGCCTTGCTCCCCTCCCTCCTCCCACCGCTCCCCCCCCTCCTCCTGCCTCACAGGATCCTCCTCCCATTCCCGTGGCACTCTGCCCGCCCATCTTGGATTTCAAGATACCGTCACGAACAGCAGCAGCAGGAGCCCCGGCAGAAGCAGCAGCAGCAGGAGCCCCGGCAGAAGCAGCAGCAGCGGCACGTTTCCCTGGCGGCCGGACCAACCGCCCGCCCTTCCCGTCCGGCAGTCTCCGGTACTTGAACGAGGGGAGGGATGTGATGGCGGTGGTGGTGGCGCCTCTCCTGCTGCGCGCGAGGGGGAACGCGCCGTGGTCGTCGTCTTGGTGGGGGTGGCCGAGGAGGTGCAGCAGGCAGGGCAGACAGCAGCAGATGGCAGCGCAGAGGAGGAACGGCAGCGCGTAGCTCACACAGCTTAGCGTGATGAACAGCACGCTCAAACTAGTGAGGGGGTGGGGGGGGGAAAGGGAGTGGGGGGGGGGGGGGGGGGAGGGGGAGGAAAGGGGAGACGGGAGATGGGGAGTGAGAGGGGAGTAAAAGGGGAGAGCGCAAAGGGGGAAGTGCACTAAATGGGCGAGCAGGGGTGGAGGGTGGGAGGGAAGGCGCCATGGTGGTGAGGGTGGCTGAGGATGTGGAGCAGGCAGGGTAGGCAGCAGCAGATGGCGGCGCAGAGGAGGAACGGCAGCGCGTAGCTCACACAGCTGAGGGTTATGAACAGCACGCTCAGACTGTGAAGTGGGCGGGGAAACCGGGGGGGGGGGGGGGGGGGGGGGGAGGGGGAATTGCCCTTGACGAGCACACAAGCAGCAATGACGGGGTTGCTGAGGGGATATAGGCACTCACTTGTAGAGATTGGGCGCTGTGGTAGGGGCAGAGTGAGCGCCGAACACCCACACGTTCCCCAGCACGAACCACACTGCGAAGAAGCAGTCGACTGTTACTTTGTAACGCTCCACTATAGCCAGCACGCTGCATGCCCGCCAAGGGAGAGGTGGGGAGACGTGGGAGAATGGTAGGGGATTTTTGAGTCGACTCAATAATCGAAAAAGCAGTCGAGTGTTACTTTGTAACGCTCCACTAGAGCTAGTACCCTGCATGCCCGCCGAAACGGGGGTTGGGATGTGAGGCGTGGGAGAGTGGTTCGGGGAAAGCGGACCGCAAAAGGGAAAGAGACGGAGAAAGGGGGAGTTGAGGAGCAAGAGGAGGGAGAAAGGGAGATTATGCTAGGAGTAGGATTTACTACTCGCGGCCCATACCACCACCGCACGCCACCCCTTACAGCCGCATGTCACTCCATACCACCGCACACCACCACGGACTCACCGAGCGTCGTCTTGCAGCTCGTCGACGATCCAGCGCACACACGACAGCATCCTCTCTCCAATCGCCGCCGCAATGTGCCGAAACCCGCTGTACCGCCCCGCACCGTACACTTCATCCTCGTCATCGTCATCATCATAACCATTATAGTACATTGCACTGTACATGTCTACACCGTTGGCTGCAGGCCACCCACCTCCTCCACCTCCTCCCGCGATTCCGGTGCTCCTCTCGGGATAAACACCACGGGCTGCCTCAGGTACGGGGTGTTGGGCGTACGCTGTCGATTCGGCACTTCCAGTAACGCTGTCCCCGAAAGGGGTTGCCCATCCGCCCGCCGCCTCCCCTCCACCTCCGCTCACCCTTGCGCCTAGGTACGGGGTGTTGGGCGCCGTTTGCGCCGCCGCAAACGCCGGTCCTCCCGGCGAGCGGGGCCGTAAGGACGAGAAGGAAGAGGAGGAGATGGACGAGTGTAAGGAGGAGGAGATGTCGACCGCTGATATGACGGCAGGGGCGGCACGTGGGAGTCTGAGAGGCGACATGGGCCGTGACGACGCCATTGCAGGCCGCGACGGCGTTTCGCGCAGCCGCCACTGGCGCCGCCGCCGCTCCTCCTCCTCCTCCTGCTGCTGCTGCCACAGTAAAAAGTCCCCGCCGTTGCTGAGGGCGCGGTGAGTGTAGCGAAAGTACAGCAGCGGGAGGAGCAAGAGGCAGCCGAGCGTGTAACCGAGTATCCACAGGCGCAGCGGTACGGGGGGCTTCTCGTGGGGGAAAAGCGCGAGCACGCACACGCCCGCGGAAATTTGCGCCAGGATGCAGAGCAGCTCGATTGCCAGCCACACGCGGGAGTTGAGCGGAACGGGCCGCGCCAACGGGGAGGCGGAGGAGTCGGAAGGGCGGGGGGCGGGGGAGCGTGCGCGCACCAGGCGCGGAGGGGCGGAAGCGGGCGGGAGAAGGGCTGTGGAAAGAGGGGAGATTGGCGGAGTTGATAACGGTGGTGTGGTTGATGCCTGTGGTGAGGGATGGAAATGGCTGGTGCCTTGATGGGTGTAGCCGGAGGTAGTGAAGCGCTGCTGCTGTTGCTGCTGTTGCTGCTGTTGCTGTTGCTGTTGCTGCTGCTGTTGCTGCTGCTGCTGCTGTCGTTGCTGCTGCTGCTGGGAACGCTGCAGGGCTTGCTGCAATAGCGTCGCCTCAGACGACTGGTCGTGAAGCTGACG